AGCTTGAGTCTCCAGTAGATACATAGCCGGTCCTGAACACAGATCCTTGTCCCTAGTCTCATATCGCTGCCAGCAGCTCATCCTCGAACTCCCTCTCCTTCATCCGTGCGGCGGCCTCTTTCTCGCGCTCGCGCTCCTTCTCTTTCACGGCCTCCTTTTCGCGCGTCTTGACGTAAGACGGTGTCGACCACGGCTTGTAGTCAAGGTGCCGCTTCACATAGAAGCACATGTACACCTGTGAGTTGAGGCATGCGCCAAGTGTGGAGTGCGTCACTCTAACAGTTATGCGCGTCAGTTACGTTAATCGTATGCAGCGCGGCAATGAGGCGGCCCTACTTGTCGTCATCGTATCGGTACCACTGCCACCAAGCGTCAGCAAGACGTCAACTGAAGGAGATGAATGGAAACACACCTCGTCCTGATGGCGCGTGTAGCATGTGTAGTGCCCGTTGTCGATCGAACCTTCATGACATACCACCGAGAAGAGGTCGTACTCGTAAAGAGAATCTGGTCCGGGGTTTCTAGGTGCAGTGTGATGCATGTGATGAGGCACTGCATGTATAAAATTAATCGCGAGAATAGTGCGTACGAGATATCAGGGGTGCTCTTCGCCTTCGATCCGGGCGCGCTCGACTTCATAGCATGGGTAGTAAACTCTGCCATGTTGAGGCTTGCGGGAAAGCGGACCGGCGACTCAATCTTCCGCGCCGTCGACTTGTCCGCGGTTGGATGCTCGAAGCGCTAGAGCGACATTAGCAAAGGGCGCGACGTCTCCAAACAATAGTTCGTGCACCTTGAACTGGAAGCTGAGCACAGGTGGGAGTTTGCGGATGCTCAAGCGTTTGCTCGCCTGCCGGAATGAATGAGACACGCATATGGAGGCGGATGGAACACGTACATGCGACGCCTTTGAGCATTTTCCGCATGTATAATCGTTCAAGGCGAGCTTCTCGGGTAGCGTGTACTGCCTCAGACACGACGCGAGAGTGATGTCCTGCGCGATGGCGGACCCCTTAGCCTCGATCTCGAGACTGATGTCGAACATCGGGTCCGTCGTCGACGTCACGTTCCCGCAGCGCTCGCACCGGACGTCGCTCTGCAGCAGGCCGTCGAACGTCGTGTGCACGATGCAGATGCACGACGCGGCGGTCTTGCCCTTGGACGTCGCGTGGATCTGATTCAGCGCCGAGATGAAGAACTCGTGTGCATCTTGCTGCGCGTAGCCGGAAAGCTCGGTGGGCGAAGCTTTCCAGGTTGTGGCCAAAAAGCTTATGGGCCCGAGGGGGCCGCCTTTGCCGGAATAGACCTGGGAGGCAATGTCATTTCATGTTCATCGCACGTAATAAATCTCAAGTCTATACCTCGGTAAAGAGCCTATCCATCTCGCAGGACGTACAATCCTTGGTGCTACAGAGCTTCTCATTGTGCTTGTCGCTCAGGAAGAAGTTGCGCAACAGGGGGTTCGCAAGGAACGACTGTAATATTGCATTCAAGAAACATGTTTGGCCGAGATTAAGGAGTCCTCGACGCCCTAAGCGCGGCTTTTTGTCAGCGCTCGGACAGGAATTTAGAGCTGTCAGACAAGCCTTACCTTGACAAGGGAGTGCTACTGCACCTTCCAGGGCTGCATTGTCCTTGCTATCAGGTATCCATGGTTTATATGGCTCCTTCCGACTTTTAGCTAAATTTCCTCGTTAGCACGGGAAAGAACATAGGAGCATGGAACACGCGGTACCCACCCGACATCAACCGCTCGCTGGCGGTAACCGACGTGGAGGAGAGGACACTCGTGAAGGTTGGATCGTAAACGAAGTCATCACAGTCTAAACAATATATGGCTCCCGACTTGGAGTCCGCACCTCATTATATTCATTATACATCAATAGCTGGAAGGGAGGCTCATAGAGGGGAGCTTACAGAAGCTATGGCCGACTTCTCGGAAGTGATCGTGTATGTGCGACTCTCGCCAGCATGCAGTGTGAAAACATTGCAAACAGACAAACGGTCTGGACAGAGTGATCTGGCATCGTTCGCAAGACGGAGATGAAAGCTATGCCAATTTCAGCCTCCGTGCTCGGTCATGAGTCGGAGAACGGTTACCTTTCGCCTCTTCGCTGGATGCACCGCCTCATGCCTCCGACACATGTGCCACGAGATAACCGTTTTGTACCGCTTCAACATAATCTCCTTCTCCTCCTCGCCATCGAGGTCCGCAAGGTGTGAACATCCTTGAGCCGAGAGCCCAAAGTCGCCAGGCATCGTTTCGTCTTTTCGCTCAGCACAGTATCCGCAGCTTCGACCTCGAGTCGAGCTCTATACCGTACACTCTGTTACGGTGCGCGCGATCCTGGACATTGAAGAGTGTGTGCCCGGAAGTGTTCGAAGTTCTGGTCAACGCCGTGAAGTTGCGTGAATAATATTTCTAAGCGCCCAATTAAAACTTGGGCTTATGATAGGCGCGCGTCTTCCTGTTGTGGCGTCTTCCAGCTAGGCGCCTCTGCTTTCGTGTTGTTGCGACCTGCTTCCAGCCCACTCGGTCGGGATACCCACCGCGCAGGAACCCTGGACAGTGACCCGCCAGGTGAGCGGAGGCATCTTGGTGATAGCATGGGTATGAGCTGATGCTGTGCTATGGCAGCCTTCGACGCGTAGTAGGATCAGTCCAGACACGTTAACGAAATGCCGCGTTTTTGGACCAGGCTCCTCGCCGCCCTTACGGCCCTCTTCGTTCTCATTCTCGTTGCACGCTCATACAACGTCTCTGCGCAATTCCAGTTCTCGTGGCCTCTTGCGGTTCACCCCGACGGACAGAATGAGGGCCTTCAGATACCTTTGAACACGGGCAAGTCGGCGGACATGACGAACGCGCACAAGCAAGGCCAAGCCACGAGCATTGCTCCGGGAACTTTTAGCAGGAAAATCGTTGCTGTCGGTGATTTGCATGGTGACCTGGGAAATGCGCACAAGGTGCTCGAGATGGCCGGGGTGGTGACTGAGGAGGGAAAGTGGTCGGGGAACGTGGACTTCTTCGTGCAGACTGGGGACATCATCGACAGGTGCGCGATATGCGTTCAAGAAATCAATAGCAAAAGGTACAACTTCCGTTTTGCAGAGGCGATGATACGATCAAACTATATGACTGGATGGAAGAGCTACGAGCGCAAGCTTTGGAGAAAAGCGGAAATGTCATCTCGCATTTAGGCAACCACGAATGGATGAACGTTATTGGTGAGCTTGGGTACTATATTATCCCTTGTTTAGTGTTCATTGCCGAAATGTTAGGTGACTGGCGGTGAGTACTCGAAGATAATGGATCCAATCGCCTCTGTGAGCTCATGCTCAACTCAGTTACGTTCCACAAACGGAGATCAAGACCTTTGGTAATCCGGGCGCTCGCCAACAGGAGCTTATGACCGGTCGCATTGGAAAGCGATGGGCGCAGAACTACTCTACGACCTCTCGTCTCCCATTGCACCCTTCGCTTGGAGAACCGAACACCGACTATGATCCGTCTGATAAATCTCCCCTCTCGCATGCAGCGGTGTCCTTCGTGCACGGTGGACTCTCACCGACCTATCCGGACCTGACCCCCTTCCCCTCTAAGATAAATGACCTCGGCCATTCCCTCCTGCACAAGCTGCAGCACCGTAACCCTCCGCCGGCACCACATCCTCCTAATCCATATCCTGGTCTCACCCATGATGCGACACCTGCGGAGCACAGATTGTATGAGACAAACGGACCCTTGTGGTATAGAGGCTGGGCGTTGGAGTCCGAGCAGAAGGTCTGCGCTGCGGTTGACGCCGTCTTGCAGAAGACCGGGACCAGGCGCATGATCATGGGTCATACCCCAGATTTTGAGGTTCGTTTGACTACTTTTAGCAGGTGTCAAGTCGCTTAGGCTCCACAGAAAATTGTTTCTAGATGTGGCGGCAAGATCGTGATCATCGACACGGGTAAGCCGGCGTTATTAGCTGAAAGCGATTCTCTCTGACTGTTGTGCGCTAGGCATCTCTCATGCATATGGCGGGGTACTCGCGGCGCTGTCCATCGAATATACTCTAAAGCCTTTGTCCGAGCCTAGCTCTTCTGGAGCGAAGCGTTGGACCGAACGCGAAGTCGTTACTGCTGTGTACATGGATCACCGAGACGTGCTTGCTGTGAATCAGCGAGAGATTGAGGGATCTTTCTGAGTCGTTAATAATTGTTTTCGTGCAAGCTTAACTTATTGTCTTGTCTTGTAGATCTGAAGTACTAGTTCTGGACTTTGTACGAGGCATTGGTTTCGGAAGCTTTGTGGCGCCGCGATCTGTCTATGACGTAGGCAACGGGGTTGATCCCGATTGGGTCAAGTTGAACGCGGAAAGGGCGAGGCTGACCGGCAGCTCCGAGAACGCCCCACTTGCCTGGTCAGCGCGTCGGCCCCTTATATTCCAGCATCTTCCCTATCACCCTCGTCTGCTTTCACACTCATCGCTCATATATGTCTGACAACAGACCCACTCTCATCGATTACCCTTCGCCTGCTAGCGAGAGCAGTGTTTATTTCGACGCGCCCCTGATGCACATCTTCTCCAAGCGTAGCGACGAGGGCGAGGAGGAAGGACATATCGCGCCGTCGTCCAACAGAAACAGAATACACACCACCACGTCGCTTAACAATGGCCAACCGAGTCTCGCGCAAGACCCTCAGGCAGCGAATGGCGTTCCCGGCGTGGCTGCACAGCTCTCCGACGACGAGCCGGCTACCCCAGACGGCGAAGACGCTGCCGTCCTGTCGCGCGACTACGGCGCAGGGAGTACTGTGACCAACAAGCCTCGCCAGAGCTCCTCGTCGGATTCGGGTTACGGCTCGCCCACGCCGCGCAACAAGCCGTTGCAGCCCGACGACATGCAGCCGATACCTGTCATCTGGGGCGGAGAGCCGGGCACGGAAGCTGCGTCGAAAGGGCAACCAAAGACGTCAGCCGCTTCTGCAGACCCGAGGCGGTCGCAGTCGATGCGTTCGTTCCGCTCGAGCGGTACGGGCCGTCGCGACGCGGCGGATGGGCAAAGCATGTACACCACCCAGTCCGGGAGATACACTCCGGCCCAGCGTCCTCGGAGGGTCAGCATGAGCGGCGGAGCGTTCGCCGACGGTGCAGGAACTGTCGGGCCAGCTGTCACTCCGGACCCGGCGGAGACCAACCTCTTCAGGTCGCGCAGTGTTAGTGCAGAGTCTGCATTGTCGAATAAGCAGAGGCTGAGGATCAGCAAAGAGGAGAGTGAGTGGCTTATCTTGTTCTCTTGTGTGGCATTTATCTATAAGCATGAATAATCTCAGTGAAGCAAGGCAAACGTCTGGCGAAGGTCATTCAGCAAGAGGCGAAGGTCGAGAAGCGCGCTCTGGAGTCCGCTGTCAGAGAGCTCGCGGAACTGCAGAAGCTACAGAAGTACGCCGTAAAGGTACGTCCAGCACGCGCACAGCGCTCCCAGCTTCGTTCTTAATCTCGATGCAGGAGGAAGCGAAGACGAACGTTGCGTACGGTCACGCCTTGCACAAGTTCCACCAAGAAGAGCTTGTGTTCCTCGCTGCACAGGCCAAATTCGAACGTGCGAGGGCTGATTTAACGGCATGTATCAGACGTTTGCGCCGCGCGTACCAACACTAATCACACCTTCGACAGGCACACGAGGACGCTCGCGAAGCTGCTCGTGAACATGCACAGCAAGCCACGGAGATGCTTCAAGAGAAAACTCGTGAAGTTGAACGGCTTCGGGCCCAGAAGGCCGCTGATGATGTGAGTACAACCATTCCTCAGTGTAGGGCGCACTGCTCATGTAGAATCGACCAGCGCGAGCGCGAGGCGAAGATACGACAACTCAAGGGAAAAGCCTAGGCCAAAGAGTTGTTGTCCCTAGCTGATTGTTTAGGCTTTTTCTTCTGTAATTTTCGACCGAGACATCCGGGAGTATACACGAATATCCGAAGGGCAGCGCTTTTACTGGGCAGGCTCACCATAAATTCTTCATGTACGGGTCATAATTTGTGAATAGCATGCACCTCGATATCTCGAGCAGGGTCAGTCGGGGGTGAAAAGCATACAAGCACCATCATCCCTTCGAATACGATGTAAGGCAGAAAGCCATGACCCTACTATGATCAGAGCACACATATTACTCGTCTTCAAAGCCCGACGACCTGACGTTCCCAGCGCCACCGGACCTATAAAAGTATTGTTGTTGGCTGATAATGCATGCTGAAAGTTTGCCCGTTGGCTGACGTGGGAAGGCCGGGGCATTTGCTGCAGTGCTAGTCATGCTACTCACAACTCCCTAAACATGAAGCGTAATGTTCCGTGGCAGAAAGAATAGCATTACATGGGGACACATATCTGGATGGTCTTCGGCTGATGATTTTTTGCGGCTCGTTGCACGTTCATCAGGCCAGCCATCCTAAAAGTCATGTCTTTGCGGAGATTCTGCGCATCTGGAAGGTAGCCGAGGGTCGAAGAACCTAGCTACTTGCTGCAGCGTCATTCTCCCACGGTGCGGTACGACCATCGTTACGGCTGGATAATTCTCGAGAATAGAAATAGTAACATACTGACATCGCTCAGAAAATAACCTCTTGCATACGGTATCAGCTCTACATACGAAGCATTGTTAGACTACACGTAAGCGTTAGGACCGCTTAAGCGGCTGCGCGGCCCTGACTGTCAAGGAGGGCCTCAGCTTCTTGGACAGCTCTCTCTAACGTCTGCGGTGAAAGCTCATTGATGATGGATGTCCGAGGTCGGAATTTATGCGCCTGGAATGCTATCGTGTCGTCAGCAATTGGGTGTTCTGCAGCGATAAAGACCACAAGTAATAAATCTGAAGCTCACCTCCTGACAGGCCGTTCATATCCTCTTTAGGAACGAATAAAGGCCACCGCTGGGACCAGGCATCTACCTTGAGCATGTACAACTGCGAAAGAAATACGATCAATGGTTGTTTCCGTCGCACGCCTGGTAAGAGCTACCTCGAAGAATGGATGGCCTGTATCAGGGAATCGGATCACGTTGATATCGAGCAGAGTAGTTTCTTGCTGAACCGCCCGAAAGCGTGGCAGGGAGAGCTGAGTCCCAAGGCGTGAGGCACTGTCAGCCAGGACGACAATGTCCACTGCGAGAGCACTCATGATTTCTTGGTCCCCAACGAGCGAAACAAACCAAGACTTTATCTACTGGATGTGAGCGATAGTTTGCAATGCTACCAAAAACTTACTCGATCGATCACGGAGGAGTCACAGTTGCCAACGAAGCCCAGAGCCTTGGGCAGTGGAAGGACAGCACTGCGGTGTACAGGGGCGTTATCTGGCTCGAGTAAGGGAGTTTGTGTCATGGTGCTAATGATCTTGTCCCAACTCCTCTCCTGAGGAGGAATCTTGGCCAGCGAGCGCATCGTACCAGCCATGGATACCAGAGAATCCCTTCCGGCACGTCGGTCATAGCTCCTTCTCCACTCTGGCGCGAGTCCAACGTGCAAGGGCTTCTGGGCTAATAGTTCCTAGACGCTCCTCAGCCCTGACGAAGATATTAATGCATATTATAAGAACGTGCCTTACGGAAGTCGTAGGAGCGAATTACTACGCTCACATCCTCTGAGTGACTGAAGGCGCTATTCATGAGTCGAGTAACGAAATCTGGGTCATTGCGTGGTAAGGCGGCCACCATGGCAGCAGTACTTATAGGGTGACTCAAGAACCTGGGAGTCTTATGTGAGGAGTGCGGGCATTAATATCTCTCGCTTAAACCCTACCGATGGCGCGGAGAGACAGCTAGTGCCCGGGCAGGCCGCGACGCGAGAAAAATCCGACAGCACTGCAGGTTTTCTTGTCCAGATCCGTCAGCTGTCTGGTGGAATTCGATCAAGAGGCGCCGTACGCGGAGAAGCATCGCGGTCTCAACGTGCATCACGCCCTGTAAAGGGTCCAGTGAACCTTAATTGTAAGCCTCAAACAGCCCTTATGCGAACTATCAGCTCGCTTGCTGAAGTCGAGGAAACACGGACAGTAATCACCTGGTCGCACTACATCCTGAACCATCTGCTTTGTAGTAGTGGGCACAAGAGGTGGCGAAGGGGCATTGATGCGTGGGTCCAATACGGCTCCGGGGTAACATGTGTAGGATAAGGACCCTATACAAGCACTACCGCTAATCACAGTGCCGATACCGAACCGACTCCGCGTCAGACGTATTGGAGGTTCGGACAACCACACCACCGAAATTAATTACCGCACTTGCCAAAAAAAAATCATTCCGCTAAGTGTAGAAACGCGTCGTATCGGAACGGCATGAGGCTCTAACTATACATTAGCATTCAGTCAAACTGCGGCACGTAATGACCCCCGAGTTCCTGCGAAATAATACCAAGACCGGACACTACAGCATCTAAGCAAAGAGAGCCTCGGCTTCGCGGACGGCTTGTTCCTGCACATGAGGAGCCATCTTGCTGATAGTTTCCTTGCGCGGGTGCAGGGTGTATGAGTGGTATTCTAAGGACTTGTCAGCACTCGCTGCCCTGGTAAACGACAACGGGTAATACACACCGCCGGAGATTCCGTTGCTGTCTTCCTGGACCCCAACGAAATGCCTGCATTGCGCCCAAGCCTCGAGTTTGATGTAGTACAGCTGGTCTCGCGTAAGCTTCCCGCAAGGATTGCAGTACCACAAGACTATCTTACCTTGAAATGGGGGTTGCCAATGTCCGGGAACCTGAGAACCCCGATGTCGAGCAAGGTTTTCGACTCGGAATGTGTCTTGTGGACGAGGTTCCTGTATGTCTGGATAGTGACACCAGTCTTGGCTACGATATTGGACAGCACTCCGATATCGATTCTGGTATCCGCAAGGACATCTGCATCGCGTACGAGGCTTTCAAACCATGCTTTAACCTACCGATGCGAGTTAGCGCCTTCTCAAAACGTCTTTATGTTCAGTGTGTAGCTGACCTCCTTAGCGACGTCCATGCTTGAAGCGCGCTCCCACTGGAAGAAGCGGAGTCTCGAAGGCTTCAGTAGTTTATCGTAGCGGTGCACACCGTTGTCAACGGTCTCCAGAACCGGATTCTGCAGCATAGTTTTCGAGACTTTGTCCCAGTTTAAGCCCTCGATAGGCAGTGCCATCAAGGCGTGTACTGTGCCAGCGATTGCGACTTGAAGAGCGGCATCCGTTTGGTTGATACTATCCCGCGTGGCATCGCGAAAATTTGGAGCGATACCGAGATGAAAGTAGAACTCTTGATTCGGGTTGGGGTCGGGCTGCGGGTCACGTTAATGATACTGACTAACTTGGGCTACAGGACGCAACGTACCACGAGAGGGCGGCGAAGCTCACGTTCGACAATGTCGCCAACGACCTCCACCTTTTGGAGGACGTCACCTCGAGTCGGAGGAGAGTTTGAACGATGGGCGGTAGCCGCGCTATTGGCAGAAGGAACGTAGTGAGGGGTCTCGGCAGCCTCTGGCATGGTGGACGATGCTTGTGTAGGTAAAGTAGGGACCGCCAGCTTGACGATGTGAGAGATATTCTATATACTATACCGTTCGACGCCTCTGATGGAGGCGGCCAGTAAGTAATCTGAAATGGGCGGGGGATGCTGTACTGCTGTACGACATGAATCGGCAGCGCCGAAACTATAATGGTGGTTCTCTTGCGGTAAGGCCACCGGTGGTCGAAGAGTTATACACCAGCTCCCCTTGGACGAGTTGCCCACAAGAAAATCATCTGTGGACCTCGTCGATTGGAACTCCCCGGTCATCCTCGTCCGCGGGTGGTTCGTCAGCGTCCGAAAACGCGTCAAAACATTCGCCTACAGGTTTGTACTTGCCAAGCGCTAAGCTTCAAGACCTTTCAACATCTGAAAAGTATCCGTCAACTCGCCATCAAAGTGAATCCAAAGTCACTTCAGGCACGCTGCAAGGGGATGTGAAGCGAAGGCGAAAAGTCCGTGAAATGCGCTCGAGCATCACAGACAAATGCGGGCTGTGAGTTCTGCGCCTGTCTTGGTACAACAGCCAGATTCTGTCTAACCTTGCCTAATAGTTCCCGAGATGCTGGTACCGCTTTTTCCGAGCAGCTGTCGAGATGCCCCTTGATAGTACTGAAGCTTCTACACTGCCCATGTCGCACAGGTCGACAAATCATGGGCGATGTAAATCCAACTTTCATTGGCTTCCCAGCAAGGGGCTGACGAAATCCCGAAACCCAGGTAGAGACATCTGAAAGAGTTCGTATGCAGGTCATCAGTTATCTGCGCGAACCTGTTCCTGACGTGACTGGCCGATCAATCATCTCAACGAGAAGGTTGAGTCAGCTACTTCTTCTGCCTAGTATCGCCTCGCGGGGCTGTGTCAATCGCTCAGGAAACAGTTATCCAACACCATGGAACGTTCTATCGGAATGTAAATACTAGCTGACAGTTCCGCAGAGGCGATGTGGCCCCGGCGTCCGTAGACCCTGCAAAGGCCCTGCATGTATTGGTGGTTCTTCGCCATAATAAGGTTTCTCTCTCATAGGACCCTATACATCTGTTCACAGCACGTGCTAGCGAGAAGCTTCTAGTACTCTGGTAGAGTCTCACGGACGGTAATTGAGGGTGAGTGAAAACTGGTAAGTTTGGGCTTGGCGGGTAGGGTCCATCGACTGGCTCGGTGCTCGTGTGGGGCCAGGGCCGTCTGGTGCGGTTCTGCGCATTCCTCACGCCCTCAGATCTCAGGCTATCTGGGAAGGACGCACATTTATCGACCATAGCACAGGCCCTCATGTAACAGTAGTTCTACGGGCCTATAAACAAGCGAAAAAAAGAAAGCTTAGCGCTTAGTGGTCACGCTCGCTGCGAGTGTCCGTTTCTGAATTCGGAACCGGCTCAGGATTCGAATTGAACCAACGTCTCCCGTTTTGGACTTGAACGCGCCCTTCTCTGTGCATAGGTTCAAAGTACTGATCAACCGAGTTCAATGATGGCCGCTAAGCTTCCATCAGAACTGGTCGTTGAGATATTGACTGAAATTGCTTGGAAATTACCAGACAATCCCCTATACATTGAAAACGACCTCGCACAAGAAGATAAGGACCAGCTGGCCGTGTGCAGTCTCGTCTGTCGATACTGGGCTAAGCGCTGCCGGCCTCACCTCCTCTCTCACCTCACCATCCGTAGCAGCGATGAGCTAGACCAGCTGCATCATTGTCTGAACGCTGCCTCCCCCATCCGCGATGTTCCCTCTTTCTCGAGGTGTATGAGGTTCCTCACGATGGTACATACCGGTGAATGGGCGGTACCTTGGTACCACAATATCTTCGGCATGATCGTGCAGCACGACATCATCCTGAACCGATGGAAGGCTGGCACAGTGCTTGAGCTGCGCAGCGCCTTTACCGGACCAGGATGCTCTCTCGAAGCGACAAATGGATACGCGCCGCATTCATTCAGCGTCGGCCTGCCCAGGACGATACCCACCAGTATGCTGATGATCCAACGTCTCGTACTCTCCGACATGCGCTTCTGCGCTGTCTCCCACATGCTCCGACTCGCTTTCAACATCACGCAGCTCAAGGAACTCGCGTGTATCCGCACTACCTTTACTGAGGAGCTCATAGACCTTGCGGCGCTCCCTCCGGTGACTCGTGTTGGGCACCAACAACACTACGCTCCAGAGGTTGCAGCAATTGAGGCCTGCGGAACCAACGACTTCGAGGTGCATCTCATGCTCGCGATTATGAGCTCGAGCGGCACAGTATCTAGGAATGCACGCGTCGCACGGCAAGTGGCACGATCCCGTGCCGTCGCAGCGATGCACAAAATTGTCTTAGCACTACGACCAGCATTGCAGAACGGGAGGAAGTTTGAGCAACGCTTTGGGTCTTGTACGTCAGTCCAATAGGATGGACGCGCGCGGAACACTCACCTGCTTGACTTGGCTAGACAACCCGTTCCGATTCTTCGACGCTTCGGGAGTTGTCACTCACACTCTCGCCATATGGATGCCCCTGCATGAGAGCTCTGAACCGGACGACCGCGGAGGGAGGCTGGAAACCCTGTTCGTGACTTCCGTCGAGCTTTACTTCCAGGACGCACTCTCCGTTGACGACGCAAAGTCGTTCGAGTGGCAGATCCTTGAGGACACTGTTCTCGGCCTATCTGACTCTCAAGTGCTGGGGCGGAAGAAGGTCACAGTAAAGGTCGAGATAACAGCACAGAACAAGCCGGTCTTCACGTGGTTGCTGGACGCCATGGCGCAATCTGTGGTTCTCGGTAAGCTGAAGACCATGGGACGCTTGGAGGTTCGATACGAGGAGATGAAAAATCATCGGAAGACTGTCGATATTTCTCTACGAGACGTAGTTGGCTTGGATGCGGAACATGTCGTTGATGGCAAGAAGCTTGTGTTGGATCTTCCACAGCGATTCGAGCTTCTGTTGCGCAAGGATGAGGAGAAGGAAGCCTTGTTGCGGTCCTATTTGGAAACCCAGGCACCGTAGCAGGCGTGTCTGCCTTCGTCCTATAGCTTGTGGTAGCTTGTGTGATAGGGTAGCAATAATCAGTATTTGATTACTGGGGTTTATTCAGAATACACGGTACCATTCATGTGCTACTTCTATCACGGTTGTCAACATGATGATTGTCGCACATACGATGCAGAGACTAGGTGCTCCCCGGATTGGCGGTCATAATCGTTTCAAACTTGGCTAGCGGCTGCCCGCATAACCCCCTGCAGTGAATAAATACGCGGCAGTGACATAACTCTTGGATTGAGCACGTTGTGAAGAAGTCGTCTCCGGAGTACCGTACAAATGGCATGTTGAGGATGGCGGCACGACACCGCCTATCCCTGCATGTTCAGCTTGAGACGTGGCTCGAGTGATCTGTATGGCCTACAGGTGATAGTGTTATTACCCGAACGCAAGCAGTAGTTGTCCCTTACTGTCAAGGAGAGCCTCAGCCTCTTGGATAGCTTTGTCCAACGTCTGTGGCGAGAGCTCGTTGATGATGGACTTCTGAGGTTGGAATTTGTACGCCTGAAACACTAGTGCGTTATCAGGAACTGGAGCTGCACGGAGACGAAGACTTGTCGTGATGACTTTTGGTCACAGCGTGCGACGATGTCGAGAGAAAACTCACCTCCTGTCAGGCCATTCATGGAGCGTCTTAGACTGAAGAAGGGCCACCTCTGCATCCAGGCGTCCACCTTCAGCTTGTACAGCTGCAAAAGAAGCACGGTCAACGAGCGTCTCATTATATTCCTCATGCGAAATACCTCGAAGAAAGGATGGTCTGCGTCAGGGAATCTGAGCACGTTAATGTCAAGGAAGACCGTCTCTCGTCGAATTCCTCGGAACCACCGAGAACGAAGCTGGGCACCAATGCGAGAAGCGCTGTCGGCCAAGGTGACGCTGTCTATAGCAATGGAATCTAGGATGTCTTGGTCCTCAATGAGCGCGGTAAACCACGACCTGACCTACTAATTGTAAGTACCGTTCCATACAGCTAAAATAACCGGGAGCTTACCTGGTCAGTCACGGAAGAATCGCAGTTACCGATAAGGCCCAGCGCTTTGGGCAACGGAAGGACAGCACTGCGGTACACGGGGGCGTTATCTGGCTGCAGTATGGGGATTTGGAGCATATTGCTGAGAATTGTGTCCCAGTTCTTCTGAGGAGGAGAGATTTCGCCTAGCGAACGCACAACGCCGGCTATAGACACCAAAGCATCGTTCCCGATAGGTTTGTCGCGGCTCCTTCGCCATTCAGGCGCAAGCAAAATGCACAAGGGTTTCTGTTCCAGCAGTTCCTACACGGCTATCAGCCAAGGACAAAGATGGTGCATACCGTGAAAGCGTGCCTTGCTCAAGTCGTAGGAGTGAATAACCTCGCTCACATTCTCCAGATGACTGAATGCGTTCTTCATGAGCCGAGCGGCGAGGTCTGGTTCGTCAGCGGGGTCGCGAGTTAGGCTAGCTACCATCGTGCGAAAGATAAAGGGCTTGGGGTTAATAGAACCTCCATGAGCCTGGAGGTTTCGCTATATAAGCATGTACACTGCCATCTAGCATATGAACCCGGTGATTCATAAATACCTGTCTCGACAGGCTTCGGCGTGGGCCCATCCGAGCGAGCTATTTGAGCCTCGATCATGTGCAGCACGAACGTAGCGTACCATACAAAAACGTGTATACACGCGGACTAGGGTCTGATGAGCATGTGTGAGTCTTCTGTAAGATGAATTGGCACCGCGGGCCTAGCATGTGAGATAAGCTCCGCAGACGGACATTGGCTTGCAGTGGCGCCACGTGATAGGAAAACTGATTGCTATGTTGAACGTTCATTGCGGGTGTCAAGGCAGCATCATTTGCGTGTGCTCATGCATTTGTGTTTTAGGGATCAACGGATGGATTGATGGACGGAATTAGCGGGTCAAATAACCCACGACTCGCGAAGCATGTCATGACGCCTTGCGAAGTCCTGCAGGGCTCTTGCCGGCCATGTGGAACATTCGCGGTAAGGGTCGAGCCACGGGACGCGAGTCAGATAGCGTAACAGATATGTTGCGAGAATTACCACACGTGCGAGGCTGTACTACACTTTGGGAGCGTGCGACATCCCTCCTCGGTGTACGTCGCACTTGAAGCGAGTAGCAATAGGAGGTAAGATGTCGAAGCACTATCCCATACAAAGTCGGAAGCCAGGGAAAGGTGTCGACAGCGAGGCCGGACATCATGCAGGAGTCGAACCCAGATAGCACCCGGCTGCGTGCTCTCAACTTCGGAACAGAGCTTCCACCTGGCGAAGAGCTTTTTCTCGCACTTCGGGTGATATCGCATCGATGATTTCCTTGCAGGGGCGAAAGTCGCATGAATAGAATTCTTATCAACGGTCAGCATTCATTGATCCAACGAACTATTGCAGACAATGCGTACCGCCCTTAACCCCACTACTGTCCTCTTTGATGAATGACAAAGACTGTTTACGCTGTACCCAAGCTTTGATTTCGATGTGATACAACTATTCCTGCATCAGCCACAACAGCCATGTCGATACTTATCACTGAATTGACTTACCCTGAAGAGCGGATTGGTGATGCTTGGGAACCTAAGAAACCCGATGTCGAGTAAACTTTCCTCGTTGCGCCCTGTCTTAGTATGGGTCGAAGCCTTGAGCAACTTGATCGACACGTCTGTCCTAGCTACAATATTGGCCAAAACCTTGGTATCGATCTTGGTAACATTGAGGACCTCCACGTCCTGTACGAGTTTACAAAACCAGGCATGGATCTGCCAATGCAATTTAGCGTCATCTTGTAATCTGGCATGCGACCGACCTCATCCAGAACATCTGCATCTGTAATGCTTTGCGATCGGAAAAAGTAACGTTTTGGCGGCTTCGACAGTATTTCGTGACGCTTCACGGCATTATTCATGCACTCTATAGTTGCGTCCTGCCGCATGATAGCCATGACGTCGTTCCAGGGCATACTCTTGACGTCGCGTGCCGCCAGAGTGCGTAGGATAGAGGCCATTGCAACTTGCAGCTTCTCATCCATCGTTTTGAGGCTTTCCGAGGTAAGCGTGCCATAGGATGGGGCAAGCCCAATATGAAAGCCAAGGGGGCCTTGGCCTGTCTCACCACCGAGCTACACGCTGCGTTAGTAGTGCAGGTCTAGGGCACGAGTCCGAGCATACCTTGGAGAGGCCAAACTCCTGTTCAATATGGGTGCTAATATCCTTCGCGCGCTGGAGAGCATCCTCTGGAGCCGGAGTAGGATTTGGATCTGTCCGAGGAACGGCAGTGGAAACACTGGCAAGGGAATCGTTAGAGGGAGCGACCAAAGACTTCGGCATAGAGGATGATTCAGTAGGTAAGTCAGGTCTTGCCAGCTTGATGATGCAGACCGTGTACTCTATATCCTTTACTACAACGTCGCTGGTGGAAGCTACCAGCGAGTGACATGTAACGGCTGGCGGATGCTGTGGAGCAAGCTGTACAACGTCAGTCGGCGGTGAAGCTATGCCAGAGTGCTAAAGACGGCTCATTAGCACGTGCTGTAGCAGATGTCTAGGGTCCAGTGTGAGATAAACCTTGCGAAGGAAGAACCCCGGGTGCAGGTATGCCTGAATAGGTCTTTACACGGCCCAATCGCCGTCACCTTGATAGAACCTTCCATGTGATCGGGTCGGATAATTGGCAACCTTGCCAATCCGCCCCGCCAAGCCATATCAAACCGACGAAGTACCTGTGTCCTATCCGTCGAAATCGGCCACTCGTGTCGCGAACCGATTCGCGCGGGGTATTGATGGCACGGGAGACAATTGGAGCCGCTTCACAGCCTGCGCGCATCGAGCCATCGTCGATCCGTCACTTGGAAGCAAGCAAAAGTTCGAGTCGCGTCGTGCGAAGTTCGTGCGGCCTGTGTGGTTTGGCCGGCGTTGATCGACTTCTGCGACAATTTACAAATTAGCACAGCCGAGTAGGTGTACGGGCTGGGATGATAACCACGGCCTTGTGGAAGAGCCGGATGACCAGCACAGCGCAAATTGAGAACTACTATGCCGTCGGTCGTGGTCGCGTCTGATGTGCCTGCATAAGACTATTGTCATCGAGGGACCTAGGTCAACTCTACGGAAACATCTCGAGGTAGAGAATACAAAACTCATCACCTACATTCATCTGAGCATGGAGCACTGACAAAACTACGACGATGTTATCACTCCAGCACATATGAGGGCGATCCAAGGGTTAAATTGATCAAACTCAAGTTTTCAGTTGGGGGCTGGCTTCGCGGTAGCTGGCGCCTGAGACCCGCGGCTTAAACAAAATGCAAAAAGGCGCTTGGGGTACTGCCTCCACAATACCATAAAGTGTCCCCTTCGGGGTGACATACGAAAAAATTGGAACGATACAGAGAAGATTAGCATGGCCCCTGCACAAGGATGACACGCTTTCCCGGAGTGGTAGACCTACGGGTCTCAATATTTATGCCTCTTTTTCCTACGCCTTCGCGCGATTCTGAGCCGCATTGTACACATTTGTTTTCAACTGTGTTGACTAACTTAACTCTACGGGATCGAAATACGTAGTGAAGATCAGAGAGCTGAGATTTCTCTCCCTCTGCTCGAACTGTTGAACAACGATTGTGTTCTCAGTGCGCAGTGCCAGGTGCTGGGACCCGAAAGTTTTGAGGCTCAGACGTAGGCACTCCCAAATATGCTCGCTGGACGACTCCAGCGAGATTGAAATAGGACGATAGTGTTACAGTTTAGCATGTGCTCTATCTATCTTCGGGCCATCGTGCAGTCACAGCAGCTTAGCGATTTCCGCGTCAATGGCCTCTGGCGAAGTCGTTGACGCCCATCGGTTGACGACATTGCCCTCCTTGTCGACCAAAAACTTTTCAAAATTCCACTACAACGCTTGTCAGCACCGGCTCCGGTTGCCAAGAAAGACGGAAACACACCTTGATGCGCGTCAAGCCGAGAAGACCCGACTTCTGCTCCTTGAGGTACTTGTAGACCTCATTCACGTTCTCGCCGTTCACGTCCGACTTCGCCATGAGGGGGAACGTCACACCGTAATTTACCTCGCAGAAATCTGCGACCTCTTGATCGGTGCCTGGCTCCTGGCCGCCAAACTGCACGGCTCGACGTCAGTGAGGACCTGGTGCGGAGGGTAGCGCTACATACCTGGTTGCAGGGGAATCCGAGGATCACAAGACCTTGATCCTTGTACTTCTTGTGCAGTGCCTCGAGGCCCTTGTACTGTGGCGTGAAACCACTGGATGTGGCGTGAGCGGGGGAGGAAGGTGGCAGACAGCCTGCATCACGTACCACTTGGAGGCGACATTCACGATCAAAACGACTTTTCCCTTCAGCTGCTCGAAATCGTAAGTCTTGCCATCGGGCTGTTGAGTCTTAAGGTCGTAGAACGGGGTCGGCTGGGTCATAGCGGATGTGCTGTAAAGCGCGGCGGAAGATATAGAAGTGGCGGTGAGAGCGCGGCGGGATGTGAGAGCGAGGGATGACGGAGTGCGCTTATATATCAGAACGTTCGAGGAGACGCGAGCAGTCCGAATTGCTGCGAGCAAAGCGAGCAATCGATGTGGCCGCATGGTCGTGCGCAATTCCCGGTGCGCTGCGGAAACAGGCCGAGGGCGGACGCTACGTGAATCACACGCGAGTCAAGCCGCGATCGAGAGCCTGATCGCGTCATGGGTTCGGTCAACACAGCACATAAATATCCCTGATTCCGCCTCGCGACAACACAATCAAAAAGAAAGTATGCTGAATAAGCCCTGGGCCTCCTTCACTATTTTCCCAAACCTCCGTCTCATTGTCCGTGTCCGTGCGAGGCCCAGCTCGAACTCCAAAGACCTGAGAACTTGGCTGTAGCCGTGGGACTTGCGCGATAGGACAGCATGAAATGCGTGGGTGCCCAGCCTAATCGCCATGAGCAAACAGAGACAACCTCGGCGAACTACGGTAGATTGCTTACCACATTACGACGCTCCGCTGCGTATCGCACCGCCCTCCGACAGCGCGCGATATTCTCCCCCGCGCTTTGTTCCGCATCGTACTGTGAGTGTAATGTATCATCTGGTGGATCGTGTCTGCATGGGAATCAGTGTACCGAATTCGGGGCTGACGTTTATAGACTGACTCAGCAGGGACGAAGGGTGTCTAATGACGTTGAGCTTCCAGCTGTGGATGTAGTGATGCATCTTCATGGCCGTTATCAGGAAATTTTGGTAAATATTCCTGTGGATGGTTTCCATTGTATTCAGGCCGGGATCGTTGAATATGACGTGGCTGGTGAATTGCGACAACCTGCGTTATTTCCGTCAGTCCATGACCACCGACTCTGAATAAATGCCTACTGGAGCATCTTCTGCGTGAACTTGATACCAGGCCTTCGGCCCCGATCCACTGTCAGTGAGTCTGACAAGACTTTATCGATGATTAGCTCCCTGAGGAATGAGTGCAATAATTGGTGGCGCACAGGTATTATGATACCGCGAATAATCTTTGGAAACTGACAGATTCTTCATGTTAATCAGGAACCCGCACCACGGAAAATCTGGCACACCCATTTCCATTTCAGCAAGCGGTTCTTGTGCGAAGACGCGGAGATACTCACATCGCTGTGTAAGATCCACCACGTTACCAAGGGCGCCATCCTCAAAGTTCGTTAACGTCTTCTCCTTCGAGATGAAGCAGCCATATTCCGGATGCCCTGTGTGCCTTCAGCTCGCCAGTCCTCTCGCGTATTGGTCTCCGCGTACCTTTCTTCATGACTTTCAGAAATCTCTTCGCATCATCGTAGCTTGTCGTGATGTAGAGATAGTCGTCGATGAGCCTGAGGAGAACCTTCGTGCAACATGGTTATGGCGACGAAGCTGAACAGACGGCAGTCACATACGCTCTCTGGCTGATCTGTAAAATTCAGGCATTGCCGTTCGAGGTCCCCATAGAAGAACGAGCAAAGTAGCGTCGATAGCACGGATCCTTGCGGTATACCGACGACTTGTCGATAGTAATCGCCGCCAATCTACGACGCCGCTTGTCAATACTCACTTCAGTCCTGCGACAATAGGGTTTACCTTGACGATATTGTCGGTGATGTGCTGCTCCAGCAGTTCGACAATTTCCTGCCTCTTCGTGAACGGGTACGTCACCTGATCGACAAAGATTACGCCCCGCAATGCCTCAGCGAGTTTGCTCGCGTGCATCAAGAAGTGTGGGTGTTCGTCAGCAGGCATCGCGCGTTTGACAAAACGGCGCTGCATCTGCCCAGTTGTCACACCGATCTGACCATGACGCTGGATGATGTATTTGTCCTGAATGTTGATGTATACGCAGTTGAGTTTTCAGCGGGTGTGATAGAAGGCGAAAAAGGCTACCTGGGACAAGATGTTCCGCAAGATCTCGAGCAGCTTCGTTTGATCAATGGTATCGAAACATGCCTGCACGTCAAGCTTGACGAAGTACAGATGTGGACTGTTGTCTCCATCAGTAGATTTTACAAGCCAGAGATCAAAGTACATACAAGTTTCCATCTGGGTACTTCTGCGAAAGTTGCGCTTTGAAGCCCTTCAGCTTCATATAGATCTCATTTGGTCCCAGCACGGATGCGCCGAATAAAGCGGCCTGCGAGTTCTGAGGGGCGCAAGTTTCTGAGGAGAACAGACGGAATGTTTGAAAAAAGGCACACCTTCTCATATTGAAGCACCAGGAACGCTGCCTTGAGGATCTGGTTGATAGACTGAGCGTATTGCCCGGCTCCCACCTAGCACGAAGGTCAGCCCAACACCACGATAATATAAAATTGCTTGCCTTTTCTCGCCGCAAATTGACAATCGGCCTCACACCAGTCTCCTTTGGTAGGAGCCTAACGAACGAGAACCCAAGCTTCCTCTGCCGAAGGATCTCCTCTGCATCGTGCTGCTCACCCAACACCAATCTGAGTCCACACTCCCAAGGGCCAGTAAAGATGAGCCAGTGCGCACCTGGCTGAGCTTCTGGAATGTCTCCGCACATAGCTTCTCCACAAGAGGTTTGCATAATGTCTCCCAGTCGTCATGCCGGAAGTACAAAATGCGGTTGCGGAACGCGCCACTCTCGGTCACGTAAAAGTTTGTCTTCAGTAGCGCCAAAAGGAAGCCGTCGAAATACCAAAATACGAAATCCTCGAGTAGCTCGCGTCGCTTCAACGCGTCCGAGACCGGGGCACGATGTTGGTTATGTGCCTTCGCAGGTGAAAGCCAGTTGCAGTCGGAGGTGCGCAGGCCCTGGAGTAGATAATGTAGGGAGAGGCTTTCGTAGCGACGAAGCGCGACGAAAGTCCTGATATCTACCCTCCGGTCAGCCCGCGATAGACGCGATAGTGAAGAGCGCGCGCACGCTTTGTCACAAGCTTGAAGTTATATTCTGAGCCCCAGAACGCCATGGGAATGACAGCCTTGGTAACGGCGATCGCGAAGCGAAAGACCTCTGCGTAGGCGCACATGAATTCTGCAAAGCGGGGTTTCTGCCGCGCTTGTGATGCCGCGAATGAAATCCCAGCCGCATTTATAGAGCGTCCTTCGGAATCGACAGAGGCATTGTTGCTGGATTGTAGTGCTTGCGTCAAGGGCTGCGTGTGCGTCTCGGCCATCATCTCCTGTATTATTTTATTCATTAGCAGAAGTTAGTTTTGATGAAAGACGGGGTGTACGAGAATGATCGACTCGTCGAGCGATTCATGTTCCTTCGTCTGCAGCTAATGATTCTCATGTGAGGATCGCACTTTACAATACTGTTGATAGGAAGTTACCTTCGATGGACACGCTTTATCTAACAATGATTTATAGCCGCACTTTCCGTGCCTCCAGATCGTTTTATCGACAAGGTCTAAAGCTCCCCGCAGGCGCTTTGGTGTCTTGCAAGGCCCCAATGCCTAGCAGGAAAGCCAAGCTTATGGGAAACAGGCAATAATAGGTCAAAAATCCCACACACCTTGATCTGTGACTCCCGATCCGTATCTGAGACGCTGTACGGTGTCTCCCAAGTTCGTGCTTGCGATATAAAAGGGTGTGGAAGACCGTATTGTCGCGGGAAAATGCATTTGTTAGCGTGTCTAGCCTTCTCGTACTGCTTCATGGGGCCAGGTACGTGGTCATTGGGATTGAGGGACGGGTACAGCACGTCAAGCTTGTTTAGAACGTCTGAATATCAAGAACGTTAGTTATAATTTTTGACACCTCAGGAACATATCGCACGTTTATCGGACAAGCCGAAGACAATCTTTCCACCGCGCACAGACCGGATAGGACGGCTGAAGAAGAGCTTCGCTCGAGAGATGGATATATCCGCTGCTGTTCGTTTTTCCAAGCTCGAAGGGGACGTTACCGCTGCTGCGGCTGTCTTCGAAGCACCGTGATGGATTTTTCGTCGCTTCAGAGGTCTCTCCATGAGAACCGATCCGGCAGGCCGCTTTAACGAGGCCTTGACAGGCTCAGCCTCGGAATTTTCGGACGAACATAGCCATAGAGCTGTAGTTGATCTCATGCTGAGTATCGGCTCCCCAGTCAACTGGAAGTAGCAGTCATTTGGGAGACTAATGAACAGAGATGTCTCTGTCAGAAGGTGGAAAATAATATCCGTGCTGACTCTACGATACTGTCAATCTCCTGGCCCCAGCTGATGACTTGAGCTCCTTGCCTTTCGTACAAGGCAATCCAGTCAGGTGCCTCAAAGACTGTCATCGTTGTGTTAATAAAGTAATTCTCCAAGGAAGGTCCTGGAGTACCAGGTGAGGCACGCATTTTAGTATTCTGGGCAATTCGTCGAGAATCGTCGGAATTTCAGGCTGTCAGGCAAACTCACAAGCCTGTATCCGGCAGTAATCATGTTGCTTCCGGATGACTTCGTCAAGAGATTCATTCGTGCCCTTTCCACAACCTAGAGAGCATTCTATCACGTCCACAACACGACATATGCACCACCGCGTACCTCTCGTAGATGCCCCATGGCAGACGTCACTTTCATCGATTTCTTTGCAGGGAGACTGCCGCGGCACGCGACGACACATGTTCGGAGCAATGTGCGGTAGGCACGAGAGTCTGTCTCGTGAATCAAGCCTGGATGACCGGCCTCGAATGCGACAACTTCCTCAAGGTACCTGCCAAGATTGACGACGACTGGGTAGTAGGAGTGCAGAATCTGCAGGGACAGAGTGTACGAAGAAGTCATGCCAGATGGAACACCGAGAGGTAGTCCGTAAGGTCGGGAGTTATTCGAGTACGGCAATCCCGTTCGGCGCGTCAGACGCCGGGAGAAGGAGACCGGAGAGGCGCGCGCCTCCCCGCCCTGTCACGCCTCGACGATGTTGTGACATAGCGCGGAGCGTGACGAACAGTGGCCATGTAAGCCCCCAACGCTGCGCTTTTCAACTTCGTCAAGTTAACTTTCGGTCTCGGCTTGAATAAGTCTCTCGCAAATGTTTAAAGCGCGTGCATATCTCTCGCTATCTCTGGAGATATAGATATGCTGCAAATGGCACATATCGCGTCTGCAATCAGCGGGAAGTCGGACTGTAAGTGCCCCGAAATTTCACAGCATTGAAAGAACGCACTTAGTACAGGCATGCGTCGTAAGAGTCTCAATATATTCTTTCGCTTATTGCATTGTAGGTGTAGATTGGTTCTTTTCCCCGCCGGGCGACATCCATACAGAGTCGGGGCAGTGGTGACATATCCACCAGAAAGACACCGCACCGGCCTCTTCCGAAGTTCGTGACCAATCTTTACGTCGATTGCGAAAAGCGATAGTTCTAGTTTGGTCCTCTTAGTCCGTTGACCATGCGGTCTCCGCGACCTTTCGCCGAGAACATTTCGTCGCCGTGGCTTTCAGTCTCGAATGTAAATGCAGCTGCTCTCCGTGATACGCTTGAGCTCAGGACGTACCCTAACCTCCTCTTGAGTAGCCATATAGCAGTCTGGCCCTTGTTCATGGCTAGAAAGCACATCCTCCTGACTGTCTTCTGTTCAGTACAGTTCCTCGACGCATTTAACTTCAGTGCACTGTTCTCCGCCCTTCCACATATCCAGGGAGACCTGCATATGGATCATCAGTGCTTTTCAGCTTACATTTGCCTCCTTCTTGCTTCTCAGTGGACGCCTCAGCGACGTGGCTAATCCGAGTGCCTACAGACCGCTATCACGCGTTTCAGGACCAACTGTTCGCTTTCTACACAGAGCACACGTTTGTAATAGCCACTGCTGGCATCGGCTGCATTTCTATTGCGACCGGATTCCTCAGCTCGACGATTCCGTTTATTGCATTCCGCGCCATGGCGGGAGTTAGTGCGTGACATGCTGCTGCAATTTCATGGTTCAATCTAACCGTAATTTCGCATAGTGGGTGCGATGACCATCCCGTCGGCGCTGACCCTCCTCGTGGGTATCTTCCCTGAGCCGCATGAACAGGCGCGGGTAATTGGAGCTTTCGGTGGCTCCGACGGTGTCGGGAATGGTAAGCTTTACTCGACCGCATCTTTACGTCCTGGACTGCTAACACATGCGTTTTTAGTTATTGGCCTTCTTGTAGGCGCGATCTTTGTCAAGTTAGCATCCTGGCGCTGGATTTTCTGGTTTATTTCCATCATTGCCATTCCTATTACCGTCCTCTCTGCCATCTTTATCCCGTCTCAAACACGCAACAACAGCCTTATCCGCCAGCTCACCCTTATGTAGAAGCTCAACAGCCTTGACACCGGCGGCATCTCGCTACTGACTGGTACGTAAAAAAACTGGCTTGAACCTCCACTCCGCTTACCAATGGTGCCTCGAATAGTGTCGGACATTCTCTTCATCTTCGCGCTGACAGAGGGCTCTATGGACATCTGGATCAGCGTCAAGGTTCTGCTCCCTCTTTTGTTGTCCATAGCCTTGATGATTGGCTTCTTTGTCTGGGAGCACGTTATCCCTACGCATATTGCTGCCGTGTGAGCTTCTTGTCCAGCCCTTTCTGTCACAGGCAGTAACTCACGATTTCCGGTTGATTTACAGCCCACCACGCACGTGGTTCTACCGCAACTTTGCCGTACTGTTTGTTGTGGCATTGCTTCCATATCTCTGGTTCACGACCATGTTTGACATCAACATGGTCTTGTGGCAGGAGGTGTATGACTGGAGCAGCTTAATCTGCGCTCTTCGTTTGTATGTGTCAGCTCTATGTCACAGACAAGAATTGGCTCTAAAGTATACCATAGGATACCCAGCGGTGTCGTGACCTTCTCTATATCTCTTACGGGTCCCCTGGCACGGCGCATAAGCCCCAAGTGGATTATTCTCTTCGGCATGGCCCTCATGATCATCGCCAACATCCTGTTCGTCTACGCAGATAACCCGAGCCGGCACTGGTCCTTTGTGCTCCCCGCGATCATCGTTGGTGACGCTGGTGCAATGCTTGTATACACGCACGCGAACATTGCCATCTTCGAGACAACTCCCCCGCGCACCGCGGGCACCGTTGGAGCGATATTCAATGGTGCACTGCAGCTCGGCAGCGCCGTTAGCGTTGAGGCCATCACGAGCATTGAAACAAGCATCGAGCGTACGCACGGCGGCTTCACGAGCTACGCGGGCCATGCGGCAGCGTGGTGGTTCCTCGTCGGCGTCGTTGCGGCGGAGGCACTAGCCGTTGCCGCGTTCTATCGTACCAGTTCTGCCGTTGCCCTCAGCGATGCTGAGGTCAAGATTGATGATAAAGCCTCTGCTGAGCCAGTCGCACCCCCAAACAGCGAGAAGCCCGGGCATTCCGTCGGCGCTTCCAACACTGCCAAGCCGTTGTCAGTCGATACGCCTGCATTCGAGAAAACGTTCAATAAGCTTGGCCTCGCTCCCGGGAAGGTGCCTAGAGTAACTACACATGCCACTCAGCTCGAGTCCCTTCCGCTACCCTCGCAAGTTCATTGAGTTATACGTCCCGCCGCGCCACTCTGCACGACTTCTTTCAAGGTGGAAAGACTCCGTTGAATCTCGACGGCATTATCGAGGGACATTGTCTGAACGAGCGGCCTCAGATATTCCCAAAATCTTTCGTGACTTCATGGTCTATTTTCATTTCATTAGCTTTCGTAGGGCCCTTTATCATTCTAGGGGACGTTTCCATGTCCATAATCATCTGCCACTATTTATACACATGGACACTTGTTATACACATGGCTGGGCCATTCGTGGTTGTCAGTGATCTTCACACGAAACGACAATGCAACGAGTTATAACGCCGAAAACAGGATAAGATGAAATGATAAAACGGCAGTAGTATGCCCCCAAAAAAGATGAAAAAAGGTCCAGGGATATACGAGGCCGGCTATGCACTCGTGGATATCTCAATGATCTCTTCCTCATTCGTCTCGACCCCTTTGCCTTTGTCACGATTTAAGAATCCTATGGCAGCATGAGCAGAATGCGGTAGCTGGAAGCTGCAGTACTTACCCTTGAACTTCTGGTTATGCTTCTTCTCGCGCTCCTTGTCGGCAGCACGAAGTCGTGCGAGCTCGGCCTCAATAGCAGGTTTGTCTGCGTATAACACTCGTCAGCATAGCAAGCCGTCCTCAAAAGTATGGTACTTACCCGACGTGTCGGTCTTGAGCAGCTCGTCGAGGATCTTCTCCGCCTTCTCAAAGTAACCCTGTTCGCCAAGAGCTCTGCCCTTCCTGAATAGTGCTTTAGTGTTCTTCTCGTTCTTCCTCAATGCCTAGAATGGTCAACGAAGATGAGTCAGACGGATACACCTCAGCCACTAGAGTCAGCCTTGCCTTGTCAGCGGTCTCGACAGCACGCTTCCAGCTGCCTTTCTTGATATGACACGCAGACATGTTTGAGTAAATCTTTTCGAGCATCTCATCTGCCTACTCGGGCGATTAGCACCGGTCAGTCGTGTGCAGCTCAATGTCGGACACACCTCAGTCTTTGGCTTCGCCTCGTCAGAGGACTGGTCCATGGACCCCATTGGCATGGCAGACGCAGCATTCCTATTGATCACTCGTTAATCTGCAACACTTGATACCCACGCCGGTGCTCACTTGTTGATCCCTTCCAGGTACATCAAAGCCTGCAAGGATGGGTTGCCCCAGATGAGACCGATCGTCCTGGTGTGACCCTACAGCAGACGATTACCTCATGATAAGCCCTAAGTGCTGAATGGCAACGTCAGTCCGGCTGTTCGTGGAGGGTGTCACAGCGACTGCAAATGGGATGGCGTGCCATACCGTTCACGACTTCGCCGGCCTTGAAAGCCTGGTCGCCCACATCTTTCTTCTGCTTTGCTATAGAGAGCTTCTGCGCAGTGTCTTCGTCTGTCGACATATCGTATGTCCCTGCGACTAGTGATAGTATAAGTCCAAGATCAAGTGCACGGTTCAAGCCTCCAAGTGCCCGGGCGCCAAATACGGGCGCCAAATACACGACGCCGAGGCGGCAGGAGCCGACGTTCTCTAACCTCTACTTTGTCTCTACTACACACGAAGTTGCATACGCACAGACCCGGTCTCGCAACGGCCATGTGGTCTTCAATCGTTGGCTTTTCTCTCTTTGGCCTTGCGGCGCGCATGGGCCAGCTCGGCATCCAAAAGCGCAACCTCTTCGATAGTGAGCTGCAGTTGTCCTGACGGGTGCGGGGCGTAGGCTGACTGGACGGGCTGCTCGGTCACAGACATAGGTGGACACGCTCTCGCGATGGGTGTCTTCGGATACGCGGGCTACTGGGCGCACCGGTGGGATGTCCGCGCGGGTGAGATACTCAAAGAGAAGCGTGCACAGATTGCAGCGCGGAGAGGCGTTACAGTTGAGGAGTTATAATGGGTGTGAAGCTTTCCAGCCAAATATTTGATAGTATACGTCGTGAGTCTCTAGTCACACTTGTGCGCGATTAATCTAACATTGCTACAGAGGGCTACTCTTGAGATGCTTTAATGGGATGCTTGCTGTCATACGAAAGCTCTTCCAAGAGCAGCAGAAGCAAGCCTTTGTATACTCTATAATGCCTGAAGCAGAAGAGCAAGAACGTCATAGTATTATGTTCCTGGGCGACGAATGTTGTTGGACGGAAGCAACACATCATTCCAAGGTCGGTGATTAGGTGCATTGCATTGGCGGTTTATGTTGCTCGTCCAGGGATGTTGAACATCTGCTATCGTGCTTCCGGATTCGCCAACGTTTGACGATGCGCTTTTCTCCAGCTTGTCGCGCATACGCTGCCATCATCTTTACGAGTAGCACTCGGCTTCGCAATTACGGGATAAAATACAACATGCATTCATCCCGGGGACCAATAACGACAGTGATGTTACACCGGGTCTACCGAGATGTAAGCCTATAGCACAACACAGCCAAACAAAGTACTAACGAGTGTGGGGAATATTGACAAAAAAGCAGTTCAACAAAAGTACAACAGTGTAGATAGCAGAAAGAGAAGAGGTGCAAGGAGCGATGGCGTTGCCAGCTCGTTCGCGCAGCGGAAATCGAAGATTTTGAGAACGAATACAGCTCCATTTTGGGGTGAAGAGGAAGACAGAAAAGCGGGGAGCTGCAAAAAGAGGTGGTACATTAGAAAGTGAAAGAGATACTGAGCAGTGGGATGCCGAATCCGGGGGGTAGGAGACGAGGGGTGTACACACGAAGAGTACATCGAGCTTGTTACAAGGTTACAACGGTCGGTGCCGTGAGAATAGCGAGGAGCACTGCGCTGCGGAGATTGAGCAGCAAGGTGAAAATATATAAGCAGGAATTGGACAGTGAGATGAGATCAGAGACGGAACGAGCATACAGCAAAAATTGAGTGGCGAAGGAGAGACTTGAGAGTTATCTGTACGCGAAATGAACCAAGGGCGTGCAAGACGAGAGGTAGTGCCTCGCATAAGGCGGGCGAATCCAGGGTGCCTTGAGATATAACCGAACCGCGAAAGAGTGTGGACGACAAGACTCGTATAGTCCCTGTCGGAGTTTAACGGAGCATTGAAGAGAAGCAAGTGTTGAAGGGAGCGGGGCGCTGAGGCCTATCTGTGATATCTTAACCAAAGCAGAAAGCGATTTAAGGCGACAGCTGAGGCGGGCCGACGGTCACCTGAGCCCCAAGTAATTGATCGGCGTCGAAGAGATGTGAGAACGAGCGTGGACAAAGGAAAATGAAGCAGACGAGATGTATCAGCGACCTGTCGAATGTGGTAATGGCGAAGCTTGAGTGTAATTGAAGAAGGGTCCGTGGGTGTGAGAAGTTGTCGAAGCACTGAAATAAACGGATGTTACCAAGCTGAGGATGTGGCGGTCACGCGGTGTCCAACGGCGAAGTGAACGCCAGGCCAACGGAGTAGCGTGCTAGTGCAGTTGGAACGCGCTATCCAGTCCCGCGCCAGAGCCACCACCAGTCTCTTCGTGTTGGGACACGAGGCTACCGAAAGAAATCTTCCTTGCAAGCGAAGCGCGGGGAAGAGGCACGGCTTGGCGGCTGCGGCGGGAGGCCTTGTGGCTGGTCGGCGTAACCGGGGGAATAGAAGTCAGGTTGTAGGGACTGGCCGGAACGGCGTCATAGACAGCGGAAGACGCAGGGCGTCTCAGGACGGTGTTGGTACTGGGGCGCGAACGGTTGACAACCGGTGACTGCGGCGTGCGCTGAGGGTTGGGCAGCTCGGGGCCAAGAATGCTGGGGTTGCGCTCCAAATTAACTCTGGGCCTGGAAGCGCGGCTCTGAGTCTGGGCGTCACTCTGCCCAGCTGGTATGGTCTTTGTGGATGCCTTAGATGGTGTCCTGGGAGCAATCCGAGCGCGTTTGTTAGATGACGTGGGAGTAGGTGACGCCAAGGGGGACGCGAGCGTCGGCGAAGCAGCCTTGTGCCGAGCTCTCTTTGCGTGCTGGTTCCGTAACTTCTCCTCTTCGTCAGAAGAGGTGGCATCCGAATTCTTTGCATTAAAGTCGATGCTCATAGCGACGGACTCCAGGCTGTTGCGAGAGCTGCCAAACGAAGGAGCTCGCTTGACACTGTGTCCTGTAGATATTTCGGAGCGCCGCACGCGGCGGGTTGCAACCACGAGATGCTCATTTGACTCGATAGACGAAATCGAATCGCGGAAAGCAGAAGGCCTGATTTCAGAGATACTAGAGCTGAGCGTCATGGAGCTGGGTGCGGATGGCATGAGGGAGAGAGGGCCACGGGTAGGAGACGAAGGATGAGCGTAATGGCTGTAGGTGGGGCTAGTGAGAATACGTTCCGTCTTTTGCAGACGGCGCGAGAGACTGTCGTTGATCGTGAGTAATGTCTCAAAGCGCAAGATCAGGGTTAAACGGACCGACTGATGTTCGAATTATCCTTGAGATCGGCCTTAGCTTGTTGCATGAAATCCATACTTGACTGCCTATACAAAGGCCTCTTAAGACCTATGTTGGTCGTCTGCTGCAGCGGTGCGCCGTCAGTGCTATCTTCCTCTGCAATGGTATCGCTCCCGGACCCATCGCGAGACTCTTTGGCACGGACACGAGCCAGTTCGACGATCTTAGCGCGCGTTGCCCGCATGGAGTGTTGCCAGTTGTTACCCTTTGCATCAGCCACGCCTCGCGCGATTTTGTCGAGCAAGTTGGATGGTGGAACAGGGCCGTTGAAAGGGGTCAGCAGGTGAGAAGGCAATGCGTCGAGAGTCTATGAGCACGAAATGGCAGGCCGAAGCGCGGTGGAGCGGAAAAAACGCGGCGTGACACGGTCAGCACCCCTGTGAAGTTCGCGACACGTCGCAACACGACGCACCCTTTGCAAGAGACGAATGTGGTCCGGTTTCCACTCTGGCTCAATTTCGCTCGTAGCGTCGAAATTGGAGCTGTTCCAACTGTCGGTGCTGTATCTGTTCGTGTTCGTCGAAAACAGAGGCAGTGGCTCGGCGCGTTTGGTGGGAGTGTGCGGCATGGATCCGGAGCCGGAGATGAGGGCATTCATCTCGCGAGGGCGTGGAGGAAGAGAGAGCGCAGAGAGCGGCGCAGCGGCGGCGGACGGCCGACCGTGCATAACTGTCCTAGAGGTTAGCGAGCGACAAGTTGAACAGGCGAGTTTAGCGTAGAGGACAACAATGGGTGAGGACAAGTCGGGGCAACGGCGTCTACCACACAAACATCACATCAGTCCCCGAACACGTGCGCTTTAGGGCAGACGCCTCCGCGTGCCAATCAATCGGAGTCTCAATCCCCGAGCCGTGACCGCGTCAAGACGCGTGCACTCCCACAGGCGTCACCTCCGGCATCCACCACACATGCAGACTGGAGATGGCGGTTGGGAGGAGTCCGGGGGGAAAGCCCCCAGGTCTCGAGTTGAGTGCCTCGCCAGCGACGCATGCATCATATCCTAAGTTCTCTATGTGGTGGATGGACCTGCGTAGGACAGCAGGAGCTGTAAGACACTCGTGGAAACGCTTACTTTGTCCACTACGAAGACGCCCCTCACTCTCGCTGCATGAGGCACACTAAGGCACAGTACAACGACAAGCGAGATACCGCGCGTTACTCGGGGTCATACGATCATAAGCCACGGTGGCAATATTGCCAACGTTCAAGACAGTTCAGCAAGCCGAGCTGCAAGCCGTAGGCCATAAAGGCAATGGAGAGATGAAAGACGAGAGCAAGTTGCCCGAGGAGGAGCTGTTTATTGAAATAGAGACGGGCTTGACAGGCCACCCAAAAATGGACGGAACGGGAACGCATCCCGAGGGGCGCTCCGATGGGAATGCGTGTTGTATTATCTACAGTACAGATGCTTGCAAGTTGAGGCGAAAAGAACAGCAAAGATTCACTTGGTGACCGTTGAGAAGGCAAAACATTGTAGTGGTGTATTGTCACCAGGAGGTTAGATAGGGTGTAAAATCCAAAGTCCTACAATTTACTATCCGATGAATGCAGCAAATGCCCTCCTCAGCGAGCATCGGCGAGGGAGGGCGTTACGAGGGATGCGGGAGCTTTGAGCTTCATGAACATCTTGGCTGTGACGACAGTATGGATGATAACGAAGACGATATACATCACAGCTGCCAAAGCGATATACTGGTCGTAGTCGCTCTTGGTGCCACGGGCCGCCCCGTCCAGCTCAATCAGGGATAGAGCTCCGGCAGTGACGCGATAGATGACGGAGGTGATGATGGCGCTACGCCGTACTACAATCAGACTAATATGTTTCGATGAGGAAGACTCTCGCACATACCTTCCAGTCATGCCGAAAGGCGTGGAGAGGACGATGGCAGCACCAGGCGCTGAAAGCGCAACGGCCCGCTGTCAAGATGTTGGTCCGACGGTGGAAAGACATGCCAAGAGCACTCACTTGCACCCAACTTATAGTTAGCCCATATGAGGCGCTGATTTCTTCTATCTTATCAGCGAAGAGAACGCTGAGGTAGAGGCCGGACAAGGCATTTGCCATTGTTGTGACCATCAGCGTCTGCAAGACGAGATGCTGTGGGGCTTGGGCTTTCACCGCGTCGATGTTGAGGTAGACAGTGAGGGATCTATTAAACATCTGTCAGAGACACAGGCAGTCCGCTTTCAGGGTAAACAACTCACAGAATGAGGGCCAGCGAAGCCATCATGTTCATGTGGCATCTGTTTTTGTAGATGCCAAAGAAAGACATAAACTGCTTGGGGTCAAGCCCTTGACTTCCGTCGCGTGGCGGATTGGCCTTGTAGAGGGCAAATATCTTCGTTAGGTGGGGGAGGTACGTGCGTGCCATAACTCCCAGGAAGACAATATTGAAACCTATCTGGAAGAGGACGAGAGCTCCGGATTTACTGAGTGCATAGAGAGCGCCGCATAAGGAGATGTACACCAGCGATAGCACCTCAAGCAGGTAGGACATTCTGGTCGTGTGCGTCGTCGTCCGGTTGGTAGATGGTCCTGGCTCGACACTTGGCGCTGAACGAGTCAACGAGTGTATATATACTACCGATTGCTAGGTATTAATCAGACACTATCTGGCACAGCATCAGGATTGGACTGTGACTCGTAAAAGTCAGGACGGCAGAACATGTACAAAACTCACCCGGTCGAGCACAGCGGGAGTAAAGCTTGACAGAGGGTTCCGACCCACTACTAATACTGATTTTGTGCAGCCTGGAGTCTTGCAAGCTTTCCGATCACCTACCTGCCTTACTGGGCACTCGTGCACAGGATGGCAAAGAGCAGTACAAAGAACAGCATAGCCCCTAGGATACTTGTAGTGGAATGCGCTGAAATGACCGCTGGCTCTCATACCACATAAGGGTCATTTGGTATGTAGCTGACACGGTTCCTAGGATCGCGAAGCCAAAGGCATACCAAAAGGACGAAAAACGAGGATGATGTCTTACAGCAATGTGGAAGTGAGTCCTGTGATAGTTGGCAGATATGGCACTTCGGCGCTGTTTGGAAGCGCGTAAAATCCAGTTATCTCTGGTAGGGTCACAAGGACCCTTTCCCGGCTGCGCAAGCAAGATACTGACGCTGAGGTCACTTCTGCCTGTATAACGATCCTCCGAGTCCTTCTTCGGAGGCTGATGTCCATCAAAACTGGCATGGTGCACGGTACTAGGGAACCTTGTACAGCCTCCGGGCTATCACATGAATCCACCGTTATAAATTGCTTTCCTACATCGTCGAGAGTGCAACAGCACTTACACACCCATCTGAGCAACAAGATGTACCACTCGGTGAGTTCGCTACTTGAATTTAGCCACTCGGCTTCCAATCTGACTACTCATCGTTCGCTCGCAGCATGACAGTAACTTCTCAATTATCGTCCCTCAAAGAGTATACTGTGTCAATGGTTTCCAAGAGAAACACTCTGTGAATATGATCCCCAATCTAGACGACGCCTCAGGAGACATATCAGCCATCTTTCCAGGATATACCGAAGCCCACATGCTCCGGGACCGGCTGCATAACACTATGCTGGTCACCGCCTTAATGATCAGGCAAGTGTAGTCATGTTTCGAGTGGCATTCTGGACGAACTGATGCAACA